CAATACATGTTCACCTTTATTTCTTGTCTCAGTTCCTTTGTGTAATAAATCAATTCTGATAATCACCTTTGGTTCTGTTACAATTTCTAATTTGACTTTAGTTGAATCAAGAGTGTACAAAGTACAACCCACAGAGTTCAACAGTCTGAATGAAGAGGATCCATTTTTAGCCAGCCTGCAATCTCTGAAGGATTTCTACAGAGAAAAAGATTATAGCTATCTGCTCCATTTCACAAACTGAATGCAGCCATCAGAAGGCTACCATGTTGCCAGAGCAGCACTCTGGACAGTTCAGGCATACTCACAACCATATATGCATCAAATTATATTTGGACTGGCAACTTAAACCACATTCCATTTACATGAAGGAAAAAACCCCACCAAAAAACAACAGCCTAGGTTTTAAAAAGTATGAAACATGGTTATATTGAGAAATGAGATTTTTAAGTGACTACTGTCCATAATTTAATTCCTTTTTAATTTTAAATATGGAAAAATGGGCTACACTTGTGTGTATATAATAGAATTTTAAACCAGATGGTTTTTAGGGGTGGCAAAGGGAAGGAAGATAGGGACTATTGCTCTTCCCTACCATTTACACTGTAGACACCAATCTGGAATTATTAAAAATAAAACTAGGATATTTAAAGTCTCAATCATGTAAAATATTATTAACTCAGCTACAATAATCTAATGTAACTGAAAGGTTGGTTAAATCAGAACATTAGAAGAGGGGATGACATTCCATTCTCACAGTGCCATTCTAAAAATTCCAAGAGCCTGACTTGCAGATCAATAATACTGAAGCACCAAAGTACACTCATTGTGCTTTCCTTTTTGGTTTTCCAAGTCAACCACACATTCCCTTGACCTTGGAAGCTAACATTTACCACTGCATTAGTTTGGTTAGAAGCAGTGAACCTTGTTTCTTTTAAAGTGTTATATGCACTCAGTGCTATTCATTGTATATTATTGGAGGATCTCCATCACTTGAAAATGGAGACACCTTCTTTCCATGCTTCTGTACGTGATCTTCATTCATTTTCTCCAACATTTCAATCTGTAGGACAGAAATATATCCACTTAAGTTTTTTTTAATAAAAAACAGACATGAAAGCAACTGCTTCAAAATATTGTGTTAAAACAGCAAGTTTAGAGGAGTAACTGGTGCACACAGTATGATCCATATCCCGAACATATAATGTTTCCAATGATTGAGTCACACCAGCTTAAATCAAGGATATGAATATGCCAGGTTTAGAAATATCAACATTTTAAGAAACATCTACTTTGAGCAGATTAATGGAACAGAAGTGCATACAATGTTTTCAGGTTGCGGGACATGGTTTTTAAAAGGGGAGAAAGATCCTCAGAGTCTAGTCTGTGACCAGAATTTCCCTAAAAACACTTCCATGTCAATTCTATCAATTTCCTCCATGAATGGTTGTGGAGGAGTTCAGAGCAGCCTCATCGTAAGTAGACACCTTCTCCATGATGTTGATGGTACTAGCAGAGCAGTAAATAGAGTTACACTCACATGCTTTATGATTAAAGTAGTACAGTCCTATTGTATTTTGGTCTGCAGCCCGTGAAGAGCTAGTGTGGGGCACCACTTTCTCTAATACAGTGGCTTCCCAACCTTTTTGATACCAGGGACCAGCAAATTCATTTACAAACTTTTGGTAACATTTTATTTGCATATCATATGTTAAGAACTCTTTCCATGATCTTAATTAAAACAAAAGGAGTTATATGTAAGTATCAGCCTCTGCTCTTATGTCAACCTAAAAAAATTGGAATTTAATATTTTTTTTACCAGCTATCCTAACAAGACAACCAAGAATATTGAAGAAACAGGATTGTGACTGGCTGCTAGATAGTTAGCTGGATGATCTTAATTGACAAATACACAGTAACTTTCTTACTCCAGGTGTCCCTAATTCAGGAAGACTCATTGCATGGACCCTGACAGGGGGACGAGGAAGCGGCTCTGCATGCTGC